GAGCGTCAGGTGGCACGCACCTTAGCGAAGAAGTATATGTGCTCCTTGACTGTGAGCTCCTCGAAGAGCAGGTTGTGCTGCGGGCAGAAGCCCATCCCTTCTCTGGCCTTCTGGGTGTGAGAGCGAATGTCGAAGCCGCCGACAGTCACAGTGCCAGACGTCGGAGTCGTCATCCCTGCGCCCGTCAAACCGCGCACACCTTCACTCACCGGGCCACACTTTTCACCTTCTCCCTCAGGAGACAGACAAATTTAAACTGTGTCAAAAGCTTTTCAGGTTGTTTAATCTTTCATAGAAAAAAGGCCAGTTTGAATACACGTAGCGAGTCGGTTCGGATGAAAAAATCGTAATCAGATCAGTACTATGCTTGTGTCTTTGTTGTCCTTCATAACGTTACTAGAATTTATTAAAATGAAACAAATTATCAGAGGGGAGAACCTACTTTATTCGTTCTGAATTGATGGAGTTGAGCGAATAATGATTAGAATCAGAGCGCGGATAATTTTCGTCAAGTCTATAAATACGATACTGATAAAACCTCTTAGGTATCACAACGTAGTTTTGTTTGTCCGAAAAGCTGTAAAAGACAAAACGTCGTAAATGCGATAAGAGAATTGTAGCGATATAATTCTATCATTAGTGGTATCCCTAATTGTGTCAACAAAACCTTAATTATTAAGAAATTAATTATTACTTTCTCACGTATATACGGAGTAATACACGTAAATACGGAGTAATATATGTAGTATAAAGAAAGTTATGTATTGCTGCGGAAAATCGATTTTAAGATTACAGCAGAAACACGTTTTGAGGTCCCCTGATTCAGAAAAAGTGTTGTTTTTTTTAAACGCCCTTCTGCCCATCTGTCTATCCGTCGTCTTATCTGCCAGTCTGTCTGGTGGATGTGAACAATCTAAACTACACTGTCAGAAATTACATTAAATTTAATGTGGATTAATGTACGTTGTACATTTATTTTAATGTACGTTATACATTAAAAGTATGTTAATGTTATTAAAGGATCATTAAAGAATATTAATGTACATTAAATTTAATGTTTTAATTACAATCAATGTCGATTTAATATACGAATGTACATTAAACGTAATGTACCTCGTACATTAAAACGAGATTAATGAGTTTGTACATTAAATTAAGTGTTTAAATTAAAATTCACGCAGATTTGATATAAAAGTATGGAACATATTGTAGTTATTGTTTAAAAACTTATTCCACTATTTTACCTAACATATAATAAATTTAAAATATAATTTTTATTTGAGCTTTATATTTTGTTCTGAACAATATTTCATTATTTTTCCACAAAACCATTTAGATTAATATTGTATATGAACATTCACTTTTCTCAGTTGTGCTGCGTTTTCCTGACGTGAGGTCTCGTTTGTCGTTAATTTAGGAGCAGCTTAGGAAATTCCGAACTCTTCCAGTTCTTTGCAGGCAAGACAAACGGTGACGGGTTTACCAGCCTACCTATTTCAGGTTCCCAAGTGTTCGGAATTCATTCGTATTCTGAAGCTCTTGTTGTGTTCTTACGTGTTAGAGTAATAGTACACATTTTTAAAACTTGTGCAAATCAAAAAAATCGTCATAACATTCTTATATGAAAGCGTGTGAAACTTATGAATGTTATTATTCACTTCCTGCTCTCAACAAAGCCGTTTTCTAGAGCAGTTGCAATTAACATCGCGAGAAGCAGAAGCAATTCAGGTATATTGGATTTGTCAAGGCAAAGTCTGGTTAATATAATTTTCAATATTAATATTTAATATTACTTTCATGAAATGTGAAATTTGTTAATCTCAACCTATTTATCGATGTGTGCTGTAGATTGCAAGTGGCTGTCTAAGTATAAGAATATGACAAACAAATTAAGACAATCAACTGAAGTTCAGGAAATGAGAGTGATATAGTAAGTCCAAAGTAAATAACTATAATCCTGGAACAAAAAGTTTGTTTTTTTGTAAAGACCTTACTGAAGGTGTGATAATTGCTAGCTATTACGTGTTTGGATTTACCTACAATGCAAAATTAGAAGCAGTCCTTGAATCCATACGAAGGGAAGATGGAGTTGTATTACTATTACGCATTAAATTAAAAATAATGTTTCATTAAATAACGTATTACTATCGATAGAACATTTGAGATAAAATTGTTACATAACATCCTTAAGAATTTTTAATAAATAGGCAATTTATATCAGTTTTTGGTAGCTGTTAAATTGCATTAAAGAAAACATTGTCAAATTGGGTATTGTTAAATAGAGTATCGAGTATATCCCCACGAACAATAGTTTTTCTGATTTAGTAATTTCTAAAATAACGAAATAAAGGTAACATTATATAGTTATAATATTACCATCTAGTACTCTGGCACTGAGTGTTATCGCACTGATCGCTGCGGGTTGACCACTGTCCTTGTTCTTTTATGTTTTTTTATTTATTTTTGTGTATTCCTTTTTGGACTCAGTTCCTACGTATACAAATAAATCCATTGCCTCTATCAATTCTTTTTACTGTTATTTGTTTAACTGTGCAAAAAGTAATGCTAAATAAATATTATTTATTGATAATAAAATTATTACTTTCAGGGAAATTATGAAAATAATCCAACAGAAGAAGATACAAGGCTTCAAAAAGAAGGTGAAAAAAATTGATTCTGCAGTATTTGGCCAAAAAGATGGAAAAATACAAGGAAGTATACATTGTAATAAGATGCGAATTTTTCATTTCTCAAGGGCTGATAGATTTATTTTTTGAATAAAATAAATGTTTGGGTACTAATAAAAGAAAAATATTTATTCATTCTTCCATATTCAATATAAATGAATTCTTTGTCAAATTAATTCAATAATATTTGGTACAAGTTAATGATTATTTATGCATCAAGAGCTATATAAGAATTCTATTGATTCGATTGATTGTAAATTTGAGGTTTGAAGGAAAGGAGTCCCAAGATGATTTACAAGAGACAGGCTTATTCCTACCTTTGCAAGAATATACACACGCTTTGAGTCCCGGCAGCGTGTTCAATCATCTATCCGAAGTGTTGTGTGTGTAGTTTACTGTTTATAAGTGTGTTTTGTTCTGAGGATGGGGAAAATATATCCCCGAAACTGTTGCGCAATCGAGTAATTGTAACATAGAGATGCAATAAAACTAAATTGAGAAGAGTCGTGTCTGACTATAAATCATCTTGGGACTCCTTTTCTTCAACCTCAAATTTAGAAGTGACAGGCTTATTCATACCTTTGCAACCAAAAATATACCCCAGATCAAAGAAATTAGAAAATTAACCAGTACAAGAATGTCTGTGCCATCATGTAACACTATTTGTTTGATTTGGGACAGAAAAGTGATTCCATATTCAAGTTAGAAAAACTAGATATATTAAATGTTCTCATTCAGAAATTAAGTTTCCAAAAAAATAAAGATATGAGCGAAAAAATTAGAAAGAGAAACCTTGTATTTAAGGTTGCAGGAGCGTACAAGGGGACGTTGAAATTCGGAAATTCGTTGTATTCTCCACAGACAATATTAAAACAAAAAAATCTCCCTACGCATTTCCCTCGAATAAAAAATTCCATGGATAAGTATCATTGAATGAAATCGGACTGCATACCTGTTATCATCGAAATTGTTGTAGTCTTTCCTGCTCCGTTGTGTCCAAGGAGCACTGTGATCTGACCCTCGTACATGTTTAGGCTCAAATTGTTCACTGCCAATTTGTTCCCTGGGAACACCTGGAAAGGACAGATTTGTTAGACTTGGCCCCCTTTTGGTTCAAATATATTAACACTTGACTTGATTTTTTGTAAAAAAACAATAAAACATTATGTGACGCATTAGATTAAGAATAATCTCCTCACGTTTTTTAGCTCCAAAATCCCTTCGTTACTCCCTCTTTTACAATGCTTCGATTAATGATGCATAAAAGTACCATCTAGTGGTGTTTCAACAGCACATATTTTCTCGCAATTTTGTTAATAGCTATGTAATATTATGATATGACAACTGTTTTCTTATACCTCAGCTGAAATTTTTAAAATTCTTAAACAAACGTTAGCGCGAAAAATACATATTTTTTTTATTCAAAATTTAAAACGAAAACACTTTTCTGCAATTAAATTCAGGTTATTCACGTTACACATAAATTAACCAACGATGCTCGGGGCGTATTTTAGCCTTAAATAAAATCATAAGTTTATAATAAATTGTCAGTCGAAACTAGCGACATTGTCAAAACAACAATGGCTGCTGAACTCTTTGGCGCACACCTTTTGCGAATCAGCATTCATGACCAAATTAATTCAAATTTGGCGCCGACCTTGGAATTCAATCATTTTGACAATTGTTTGAGGTTAATTAAAAGCATTAAATATTGGTGTAGTTTTGAAGACAAAAAATTAAAAATTGTCTTCATAAAAAATAGCGTCTTCGAAAACTACTCATATTTTCAAAAAATTGTACATGACCTAATTTCAAGGTCTGTCTTTACGGAGCACATTTCATTAAGAAAACTAGTGGTGCTGCAAAACGGTACAGACTTCCTCGTACTACTTTGTTTTCTAATTTCTTTGTTCTGGGCAAGCTTTCTGTCTTGACACATCGTCTTCTCAGCTGCCATCTATCGCCATCCAAAGTTCGTTTTCTTTTTTCTTTTTTTTTAATTTTGTCATTTTTTCTGTTTCCTATTACTAGAACCTACATATTACTTTAAGAATATTAAAGAAGAGTAAAATTTCGTCCTATCTGGAAATGTTCGTTCAAAAACGTGTAGCCAACTTTACGAAAATATCATTTAAGCGTTACTGTAAATGCGAAATTTGAAACTTTTACGCAGGGAACTTTTGAGTTATCGAGCGACTTCATTGGAAGTGATTCGAAGAAGTAAGTATTAGAGGACTGACTCCCGTTAGCATAAAATTTCGGGGTTCTGCTAGAGTAGATCGTCACGAGATTCAGACCCGTATCTTCTCTCATTTACGCCAGTGCATTGAAAACACCCTCCTTTGCTGAAGGGCGGAATCGTACCTTGGAGACGGCGTTGATGCGGACGCCGGCCCTGAGGCCCGTGGGCTCGTCCTCCACGTTCCGCCTGTCCGCAGCGTGAGGGAGCGGGTTCACCACCGCCTCCACCGGCGGCTTCGGCCGCCAGAACGACTTCTGCACACGCGACGCGCGCTCTCCGCCACCATCCGCCTATCCCAAGACCGGCACTACTATCTCTGTCTTTTTCCCGGGGAGGAAGTCTTTAGTGCTCTCGGACGAGCGTCTTCGTTAATTAGTTTTTGTTCTCACTCCCAGCTTGTCCCAGCCGCGACAAGCTCTAAGCTTCATCAAGTCTCCCTCTAGTGTGGCGGTAGAGGGCTAATAAGTTTGTGTATGCGAATGTGAGGGGTGGAGGGGACAAGAACAATCACGTAAAGATCGAATGCAGTCCGTGGCCCGTTTGTTAGAATACTGGCTGTTATATTTCTGAATATCCTGGTTTTGATGGGATAGATGACGGAAAACTACCGATCAGAACAGAAGGCCTATTCCCTCAGATAAATAAGGGAGGATTTCAAGCTCGAGGGAATCGATTCCAGGATCGTACCACGGCAAGCTAATTCGCTGCCCAGTAGCCATTCTAGGAAGAAGAACAGGAGGAATTATGTTTTAATATTGAAGTTCCTAGTCATCAATGACTAACTAATCTAGCCTGTCTCGGCAAATAACGCCTTGTCAGGACTATCTCATATCAGCTGACTTGTTTTCTATTCGATAATTGCTATATCTCGCAACGCGTTCGGGCGACTTAAACTGTGTCGCTATGATGACAAAGTTCATTTCAGATGGGATGATGACAAAGTTTATTGAAGTTCAGAAGTTTAACTAAAAAACGTCTCCCGTTTACATTTTCTACATGTCTGTTGAAATTGTGTGGTGGAATTCTAGGGTCAATGAAATGTGTTTGGACAATCCACACTCTAGACTTTGCTAGACTCCGCCACCAACGCCTTCCAACCTTTAGCTGGCCATCCCAAGACTGGCACGTGTCTTTTTCCCGGTAATGAAATTTGGTGCTTTCGGACGCAACGTCTTGGTTAATTAGTAATTAATGTTACAACACGGGTGGCTAAAGCGTTTCTCCTCAGGAACACGACCTGTCCGCTTGCGGGTGTTTCCCTTCCAAGTTTGCCCAATCCGCGACAAGTTGTAAGCTCCCGTCAGGTCGCCCAGCTTGTGTGGCGGTGTAAGGCATACATACTATACGTAGCTAGAAAACGTTTCTGGAAATTGCTAATACCTCAGAGACAAGATACCATAACGCAATTTACAGTTTTCCTTCAAAATGGTTCCCTTCAAGTCACACACTTCTGATAGTACGTGTAAAGTAATTGGAGGCATTCCTGGAGGCCATTTAGATTTAGATTTATTCAGTCAAAAAAACAGTAAAAACTGTATGTGACGTAAGGGGAAGAAGATGATCTGCGCACGTTTTCTTGAGTTCCAGAATCCCTTCCCGTCATTTTAATTATAAATAGTTGAATGGTGAGTAAAAGTTTAACATTAATAAATAAATTTTAAAGATCGTAAGAATAGCAATATTACAAAAATTGATGTCTCTGAATGAGATTTGTGTAATAAAACACAAAGCATTATGTTAGAGCGTTGCTCTGTAGGCATTATCAAATACAACCAACAAACACGTACAAACAACAAAAACTTGTTGCTTTGCAAACTCAACAATCGCTACGAACATGGAAATTCTACTGAAGTGACGTCACGAACGTTATCAACATCTAACAAAGAAAATGTGGCTATCTAATACATATTAAATGAATAATTAAATATTCCAGACAATATTTGAAACTAGTGGTATAAGCATGTGTGTGTGAGGAGTGGAGAGGACAAGAACTAGGAAGGAAATATTATTTGTTATCCTTGACTGAGGCGATTCTTAAGGAAAGCTACAATTCTATTTTTGGGAATCGAACCCGGGATTGCACTACAATAAGCAAGTGTGCTGCCTATGAGCCATTCTCGAGACTACAGGAAGAATAATGTTTTTAATACTGAAGTTCCTCGTCATCAATGGGCTGGGTTAGACCAATATAACCTGTCTTGGTAATAATGATTTATCAGGACTTTCTCAACTCACCTGACTTGTTTTCTACGTGTTCGTGTTTTAGTTTCTTCAAGTTCGGAAATCAAACCAAAACATATCTTCCGCTTACATTCTGCACACTTGTGTTTCAATTATGTGGTGTTATTCTAGAGGCAATGAAACGTATTTGAACAATCCACACTCTAATTCAGGAAAAAGTGTATTTGAAAATATTCTCTTCATTTGGGGAGAATAGAAAACGTTGGAAAAGCTTTGAAACTCAAGTTTCACGATGATATTTAAGTTAATCGTCGTCAGAGACAGGTAGTTTAGGCTCTTTCTTGAACGATGTCTAGCCATAACCATCTTTGCTCCGCGCAAGGAAAAATAAAAAGTTGGGATGAAAGGGAATTTGCAGAAACTGTAATTGGGTTCCGAATATTTTGACATACATGCGTACTAACGTTTTTATATTTTAACTATACTACCTTAAATTCTAATGAGTATATTTAAAATCTTATTGTACATTGATTGAAAAAAAAGGTAATGAGTCTACGAGTACTTCATTCATATGGCAAGTACTGCCCGATCAATCGAAATGCTGAATCTATAAAATGTGAAGTACCAGCAATGGCCTACCTGGCAGAGGAAGTTCCATGGCTTTGCCATCCCATACTCTCCGGGGAGAATGGCGTCGACGTACAGCGTGATGAGCATGTACATCAGGCAATTCAAGAGGAGGAAGAGCCAAACAACTCCCATAGCCACCGGGTAATCCGACGTTGGATTCGACCATATATTTTTCCATTGCTGGCCAGCATCTATCGTACAAATGTAAACTGTGTATACGAATTCATTTGTAATTACCATTAAAAATAGTAAGGAGAAATTGACAGTTAAAAACTGGTGGTGCAACAGAATGGAACAGACTTTCTCGAATCATTTTTTTTAAATTTTCTTTGGTCTCGGTAAGTTATTCGGACTTGCCACATGCCATCTACTGCCGCCCATAAGTCATTTTTAAAAACTTCTCAATTTTTTGGTTTCCGAATAGTAGAACTGAAATATTACTTTAAGGATATTAAGGAAGAGTAAATCAAAGTCATAGATGACAATTTTCATTAAAAAATTTGGTGACGTTTCTAAGAAAATGTGGTTTAAACGTTACTGTAAATGCAAAATTCGAAGCTCTGTTTATCAGAATGTTTGGTTTTTCGAATTTGAGTTTTCGAAAACAATTTAAAGTCATTTAAAGCATTTTAACTAGCAAATGTAATGGCATTTACAAACTGCTGAAAATGTGCATATTAACGGCGTGAGAAATATTTAAAAAAATTACATTTGTGTATTTTTGAAAAAAACAAAATTATACAGAAAAATAAAACACATTTCATCTGCAAGAATGCAATTAGCACTATCCGCACGGAAAGTCTGAAGACAAAATTTGAAGTCATATTTGAGAAAATTTTGAAAATGTCCCTAGGATTTCATGCACAATTAATGAATGATTTTCATAATCTCAAAGCTTTGAGTCAGCTCAGATCTAGGGGATTCTTTAGTTTGAAAACAAAAGTACGCCTAGTTTAGGCTCTAATGTAGTTCTCTTACACCGGACAGACAGGCTGACAGACGGGCGGTGAGACGGACGGACGGACGGACGGACGGACGTTTAAAAAAACTTTTTCTGTGTCAGGGGCCCCCAAAACGCATATTTTCGTTGAAATCTCGAAATCTATTTTCCGCAGCATTACGTAACTTTATCTCTCTTTCTATTCTCTATCTTTCTCTTTACGACTTCATGGTAGCCTTGCAAAACTCTACGATGAAATCAATAGATCTTCAAAATTCACTCGTGTGGCACACTATCAAACCTACCTTCTCGTAATCAATCCAAGCCATGCTCAGTTTAGGTTTTCGTTTCTTTACATCATTGAAGTTGACTTTGTTTAGTTGCAAAATTTCCTTGCTGCCTTGGGAACCTTGACGATATACTTTCTGGTCAACTGGAAAGAGATGGTTCTTCTCTATAAAAGAAAGCTCGTGTATAGCAACTGCGTATAGCAACTGATTTTCACTTTGAGAATGCTCAATGGGCTCTTATGAACAATGTTATTCTTATGGAAGAGTATCGTGCACTATTGTCAAATCGTTTGTTGCAAAAGTAAGAAGAAAAAACTGTAGTCCTTTGGAGAAAATTACGAGGAACACGATGGTAATCATGAAAAATGTGTCATTCATTTGCTTTTTAACGAAAACAATGAAAACGCCGGAACTGGCTTTCAAACCGTAAAACACATCCACAAATTGGTGAAATTACTTTGAAAAAAAACGGTACAATATTTCAGTTACTTCATATAGGGAAATACTTTCATTTGATGAAGACGTTAAAATGTGTCCCTTAAAAAATGAATTGCAAACGAAAATGTTGGAATTTTTAATTTGTGCATTAGAATATGTCGTCACTGGGATATTTTCGTTCATGAAGTCGAATTAACAACTTCTAGTGACAAAAGTTTGGGAGAAATGCTGAAATTATTTTCATTTCTATCATTAGACGAAGGTCTTCCGAGGCATTGCTTCTGTGTATTTCGCGATGTGAGATGCCGACGCGTGGTGACGCTCGAAGTGAGTCGCGATGAACAGACGAGGCACAGACGCAGAATGTGTGACCTGCAGGGATGAAAGGAAGGGTTTGTTTTAATGACTTTATCAGCGGAAGGGACTACCCAAATACTTGACTCGAAAACAATACTCAAATAATCGCAAAGAACACTTTGATGAATTTCATCTTGCTGGGTGTACTGATCAGTCGATTTTTGCGTGTGGAGAGAATTGAGTGGCGAAGAGTGGTGATAATGAGTGGTACCAAGGAGTTGGTACGTAATTTAGTCGATCGTGTCGTGTATTAATATTAAGATATCAAAAGGGATCGGCGGGAAAAGGGCTAAATAATTAAAAGTAGTGAAAAAAGGAAACGTATTTGAGAACTTAAAAGAAAAAACATCCACAAACTTATTCAATCGTGTGAATGAATTTGTCAGATCAACGGGCATTAGCAGACTCCTTCTTCAGGGTGAAAAAGTAAAATGAGAATGGAGAAATAACAACCCCGATAAAAATAAAGTTAACTGGACTGAAGTATAGACTGTAAAATGAGATTTTGTATATACGTCTCAATCGTACCATACGTTTACATTTTAAAACCTGACTACAACACTTCTGACCTGCCTACAACCAAAGAAACAGTAAAAGATACATTTGTTGATTTGATGATTCAGTAGGGCCTCTATATTCCTTCGGGAACATCTCAACAAACTACGAGCTTGACTAAATACTTGGCAAATGAAAGCAAATCATGTCACATAACTTTCACCATGAAGAGAAAAAAATGTCTCCCTGTGCAATTGAACAAAATTAATCGTCCACAAACATATTCACCGAGATATTTAGACGTTTATCTTGATACAGGACTTACGTGGAAAAACATTGTGTAAACGAAAAGAACTCCAGTTAAAATACAATAAACTGTTTTGGTAGTTAGGTTTAAACTCAGTGTTAGCTTTATACATCAAACTACTAATTTATGAATCAATATTATAGCATGTTTGGACTTACTGCATACAGCTCTGGAGCACCAGTAGCAAATCCAATATCCAAATCAATCATAGATTCCAATCCACAGTATTAAGAAACATTGACAATGCCCCCTGATATGTTCGAAATTACTTAATTAACTTTGATTTTAAAAAGCCAACAGTTACTCAAAGAATAAACTAGTGATGCTGCTAAAGCGTATATTTTCTCGCAATGTTTCTAAACGCTCCGCAATATTATTTCGATTTGAATATTATATTGAAAAATTGAGTTATTGTAACATTGTAACAGTTATACAGTTATATTAACGTTTTAGAAATAAGACAGAGTTGTACACCAATTTAAAATTTCAAAATATGAAAATGACATACAGACACATCCACTTTATTTAGAATCTTAATAGATCTGAGTAGAATTGCTTCAAACGATTTTCAATGTTAATTTCAAATTTTAATGTTTCTGATATTGTCAATAGTTTTATGCGGCAAAATTTGTGAATATGTTCCTCTGTTTCTCTTGATCAGCAACATCAACTTCAGGTTGGAGCTAAGATGCATATTTTTTGGAGGATCTGTTGCCTTCCCTGATTTCTGCCAAAAATGTTTCGACGTCATCTTTTGCAGGAGAGCCGTCATCTTTTACCCTTCGGTTTTTGAATCACATTTCGTTAGAATCTTTTCGCGTCTGTTTCATGCAATCGATTCTGTGCACGAAAATATACTCTATGTTTGCAACATCTAATGCGTTGAGTCGATGCTTAGGTTTTCTCTTTTAGCTTTCCCGGAGCCATTAGCCATTTGTGACATTTTGAATTTAGTATTTGTGTTCAACTCTCGTTGACGTTAGAGGTGCGCGCTGGTTTTCAAGATGCCTTGGCTAAGACTTATTTCATGCCGCGAGTCCGTTTCGTAATTCTTTTCGTCCTTGGAAGTACGGAGCTAGTTTTCTCTGTGTGACTATCAACCGTCTGAATTCTTTGGCTGGCCCAAAAATTATCTGAGGCACCAGAGATCCTGTGATTGATTTCAGTAATATCTGTATCTCTACCTGTGACCTTTTACTTTCTCGCACTTACGTCGTACGAAGAAGTATTCTAATCGTGCGCAAGAAAACGGCGAAATATTCGAAAATTCGAGAACTTTCACAATTTTCGAAAAATTACGGATTTCAACGAAAATTAAATCTCCTCCATTTTGTTAAGCATCTTTTACGCAATTACAACAAAGATTAATTATAAATTGGGAGACGTATTTGAGGAAATGTTGAAAATATTGAGGCTTTAAGTAAAGTACCCTCAGAAATCAAAATATCAGTTTCAAACTCAGAAGGCATCTGGTTCCATTAAATTAATCGGAAAATACCAATTTTGGAGAAAATTGGCAGAACGGTTTAGGCGCTACTGATGGTCAGACACAAAGACACAGAGGGACACAGGTACAGAGACGGGCAGATAGAAGCAGATAGACAGAGACAGCGGCAGACAGTGGCGTAATAACGAAACCGTTCCCCAAAATTCGAGAAAGAATGTGCTATTGTAACACCTCCAGTTACTCTTTGATTCGTGAAAGAAAGGAACATTCCTCTTGTATCGTCAGTAGCAGGGACGTAAGTTACATTATGCATAATTTGTCCAAATGTTGTGTACAATGTGAACTTTAATTGGTTTTCGCCAATTTACGGAATTCCTCTCTTCGTTACATTCCGCATTTCTGTATTCTTATTATATTATATATTCGTATTATTATATTTTGTGTATTAGAAAAACAATGTAAATAATAGCAATGATACTGACAATTACTCACCCATGTTCTCATGCTTCAAAATGATAAATACACCCACTCCCAGTGCTCCGGGACATGATAAGCAGAGTAGGAGTGTTTTGACTAATGAAAATGTTTGTTGTGAAATCATGCTGAATAATATATATAATGTCAAATAGAAAACTGCTGCGCATGAAGCTGCAAGGTTCGCTGAAAACGAAGGATGCGTTCAGTTACCAAGAAAATAATAGTCTAATTTGAATAATTGCTTAATTACTTAATTATCAGGTAAAACCTATTTTAATAAGTTTGCGGACGACTTTTAATAACGAAAAATGTAAATACTTTCCACAAGTACAATAGTGACCATTAAAATCATGTTGATGAATGCCGCCAACATTACCGAACGTAGGCTAGAAAAGCACATTCCGCTTGTGTGTTCTTTCGTTTTCTGTTTAAAGGGCAGC